CAGAGCCCTACTCGGCAGTGGAGACTAACCGCAGCACTAGAAAAGCTTCCTCTTCCTTGTCTTCAAGCATCAGTACTATAGCTCCTTCGCAGCAGAGGAGAGAGACCTCAGCTAGTTGTTTTCTAGGCCTGGACGAACCTGCTCTGATACCATGTTGAGCAGGAGATCAAGAAGAAGAAGAAAAGAAGGAGAAAAGAAGAAGAAAGAAGGAGAAGACGAAGAAGAATAAGAGGCAACTGAGTTAAGGCCTCAACTAAACTTAGCTTCAGTCGAGTGAAGCTTTCTATTTATACTGTTCTGGCCGTACATAACAATATGTCTACAGAATTACGAAAATACCCCTGTGGGTACTAAGCCTGTGTACAGTACATATAATACACCTGTTAACAGTTCTCAAATAAAACACCAACATTTCTTAAGCAGTTCAAGCTTGTCACTGAGAAGACTAAATAAATAATATTAGAGTGACGATATAAAGACTATTTATCTGTCCACCAAGCATAAAGGTGAAGATGTGATTTCTGATTTTCCATCTCTGGTTTCTATGAAATATTCAAATAAATTTCTTTTCATAAATGGAAAATTATGCAAGATACTCAAACGTTTTGAGTTAAAAATATTTGAGGTAGGTAATTGGACTGCTGGTCCCACACACAGATAAAGGAGAGTTGTCTCAGGTTGGTAGCTGGTGTAAAAACTTTTAGGCAATCCAGTAAATCGTGGATAGTTACATGGCTCTTGATAGTGCATGATGGTGGGAGTGGACAGGATTTGTATAGCTGACCACAAATAATTAGGATTATGGGTGAGCTGAGTTTAGTTGAGGCTTTGGACTCATTGCTTGGTTTGTGAGGGTATATGCATTGTGGTTATGAATCTTGTTTTATCCTTTCTAACACTGACTGATATAATATTAATACTTATTTGATGCAGACATGCCATATGCCATCTTCCCTTTGTTGTGGTGGTAGTGTCTCTGGGTGTTTTTATTTGGAGGTGTGATGGTTGAGATATTTCCAAGCATGACAGTTTTTGTATTTTGTTCACATTTTCATGTCAAAGTTTTCAGGATGGGTTGATTATTCTGATAATCTCTTCCTCAAATTGATGAAGTTTGTCTGATAGCTTTTAAGAACAAACAATTTTTGTTTTGATACACAAATAAGAACAACAAATTAAGTCTGATGAAGTTTGTCTGATAGTTTTTGTATTTTGTTCATATTTTGATGCCAATTTTTTCAGGATGGGTTGACTATTCTGTTAATCTCTTCCTCAAATTGATCAAGTTTGTCCGATATCTTTTAAATAAGAACAACAAATTCTGTTTGTTTATATTCTTCCCTCATGGTTGTCGCAGAGGCTTATGCAGCTATTTTTGTTCTCAGACTTAATTTCGACTGATGGTCTATGACAGGTACTGATACTGCTGGAGGTGTAAGAGTACCTGCTAGTTTTTGTGGCATAATAGGTTTCCGACCCTCATATGGGGCTATTTCTCACATGGGAGTCATTCCTGTTTCATCAAGCCTTGACACTGTAGGTATGTTAAGGAGAAATTCTTCTCAGTCAAGCCAGTCAAGTTGGCTTTGGTGTGTTAGCTTGTTAGTATTAATTATTAAGTACATGTCACATTGCCACTTTCTTCCTGTTAAGGAAAATGTAAAGCTTATTGTTAGATCTGGAATTGATTGAGCTGTTGGTTTAGTGTAGACTTCTTGCTCTCTTTTTATATGATGAAACTATGACTTGATTTTTCTTGCACTGAATAAGAATGAATAAGCTAGCTGGATGTATTAAATAAAAAATGAGAGAAAAGGAGGAAAATTAATATATAAGTAAAAAAAGAGGAAGATTAGAGGGTTGTTGATGTGAATAGAGTGATTTATTCTTTAGGCTCTGTTTTTCAATCCATATAATTTCATTTACATTTTTGGCTTGTTTAAGGCCATAACCTTATTTACCAAAAGAAGGCCATTACTTTGTTGTCCATACCTTTTACATGGACACAAATACAGTTAAGAAAAGAATTGCTAGTTTGATATGAAATTGCTCTATTAATATTTTTGAAAGTTTTGAAATTGATATACTTGAAATACTATTATAATATATATGGTGATTTTCCATGTTTTGAGAGAAAATTTAATGTTCATAATAAAGAGAATTGCTATATTTCAATTACTGTGCATAAATGTATTTTGTGTGGTATAGAAGATTAGGGAGCTAGACAAAATTCAATTTTTTTACTCTTGTGAAATTTTGTTACCCAAAATTTCACTCATTTATAAAAAAAATTTGTTAACCAAAATGACCTGGATGCCTTGACAACTGTGGGCACCATTTCCCCTTCCCGTCTTCATGAAATCTGTATGGATAGTGCTGGATAAAATGTTTTTTTTTTTAATGCCTTAAGTTGTCTATTCCATATCCTTCTAACACTTTAATTTACCTGGTTTTCAATATTTTCTAATGCAGGATGGTTTGCAAAGGATCCTAGCATTTTGCGTCGTGTTGGTCATGTGTTGCTGCAACTTCCATTTGCAGATCAACGCATGCCAAGGCAGGTTTTAGTAGCTGATGACTGCTTTCAACAACTAAAGATTCCTGTGAGCCGGATTCTTGAAGTGGTTATTACATCTACGGAAAAGCTATTTGGAAGTATGTTCTTATTGCTTCTTGATCTGTATTTGTTCACCATGAACATTTTATTTCATTTTGTTGGTCATGTGAAATAACTGAGCCTTGTCTTTTATAAATGAGTACTTCAGGACAGGTGCTAAAGCATATAAACCTTGGAGAATATTTGGATTCAAAAGTTCCAAGCTTGAAGAAGTTTCATGACATGAACAGAAATGGTGAATTAAAAACTTCTACCTTAAGATCACTTGCAAATGCTATGCAGTTCCTTCAAAGGTTAGGTTATTTCCATGTAGTCAAATTGTTTGGAAATGGAAGTTATCAAGTTTATTCTTTTCATCCGCTATGCTATTCTTGCTTTTCATGAATTAGCATTTTTGGAGTAGCTTGTGTAAACTTTGGAACTGTAATGTATGGATGTCTGATGGGGTTATGCAAGGACTCTTAGGTGATAATACAATGCTTCTTTGATAACTTAGGTGCTGTAATAGAACCAACATGACTTTTTTTTATTCAACAACGCTATTCTTTAGTTTCCCTACTTCCCTTTAAAAGTTATCTTAATGGCACACCCTTGAAATCACCATCTATGCTGCAAAATCTTCTGGTTAAATATACAAGAGATGGTCTAGGGATGATGAAATGGTTCGTTCCTTTTTGATTTTTTTTTGTTGTATAGTTTTTGTATTTGTGATTGTATGCCTTTTAGCACTTCTTTACCATAAAAGGAAAAAAATGCAAAAAAATCTAGCATGTTTGGACATGATAAATTGCATGTAAGAATATTGTGTTTAAAAGGTGAAGACATCGGGTGAAGCACTTCAAACTCCAATGTGGGAGGCAGAAATTTTGAGGCTCAGTGAGTGGTGATGAATATAGTAGGAAATAAAAATTGAAAACGTGGGAAAAAATAGGAGCTTATAATTACCGAGGAACAATTTATAATGATGCAATCGTCACACCAAAATAAATTCTGAAGTGCAGAAAAGGCCTCAGTAAGGTTGGATGAAACACATCAGAACAACAGAACAATTGATTTGGAAAAAGTGGTGGACACAGAAGTTGGGGTTACTAAATCCTTGGGGTTGTTCTTCTTGGGTGGGGAAGATTTTGCAAGGAAGAAGTTTATAGAATTGGAGAAGTATCTGTTGAAAGTTATTTCCCGGTAATGAAGTGATTGGTTTTAAGGGTAGGGGTGAAGAAGCATTAAACAAAAGGAGGCTAGAAGGAGAGAAAAAGATTGCTGACAAAGAGGGAGAGACAGATGCAGTTTTGACTTTTGAGAAGAAAACAGTTATGGAATTAGAGAGAATAAACGATTGTTCTCTAAATTCAAAAGAAGCTACTGGAATCCCTACTGCAGTTAGGCATTTTAGAAACCAGATGAATATCATTCTGTTAAGGTCTCAAAAGTCTTTGCCAGGTTAAGAGGGGGATTATTTGGGATTGCACCTAGCAAGAAGGTAAAGAAGCCGAAGAGAGCTCTCAAAAAAAACAAGGAGATTCTGGATCAAGCCTCTTGAGATTTGGTTGTCAGAGTTTAGTTATGGTTCTGTAAATTGGGTTCTATGGGGTTTTAAATTGTCGGGAATGAATAATGGGTATTCAAATTTTTTTCGAGGCTTAAGGTTTCTTCAACTTGGAAGGTTTGGAATGAATGGGGCTAGGGGTTTTGTTTCCTCTTTTTTTTTTTGGTCTGGGTATCATTTTTTGGATACGTTTTTCTTGTGAATTTATGGTGTAGGGTGGTAGGTTGGGTTTGGTTTTGTTTTCTTTCTCTCGGGTGATTACTGGTCACCTTTCTTGTATTTTCTTTTGAGCTTTTAACAAATTTTATTTTATTACCAAAAAATATGTTTCTCTTTGCCCATACTGATATTATGTGTCTGATAGGTAACCTAATGACAATTTATTCAAAAAAAGGTAACCTAAAGACAAATTGGTAGATATGCATTGATTGAACCATCTTGAAAGAGTACAACAACAAGGTTTAGATGCTTGGGAGCTGGGAGAGGAGAGAAAGTTCAAGATGGCGGGGAAATGGCGTTTGGAGCTGACCATTGAAGCCTAATACTTCCTGTTCGAGCTGGGAAGGGCAATGGGGAAGTTTCACCTGAAAATCAGAGAAGGGAGCAGGGCAATGATTCTTCTTTCGGAGGAGGCGTGTTTGTGGTTGGAAGGTTTTGTGGATGGAACTGTTATTTCTTTATGGGAAGAAGGTTGGAGAAACTTGATGACTTGTGGGAGGACGAAATTCGAATCAGTGTTAAAGAGGAATGGAAACGGGTGGTTTATAATGGTTACAGAACATTTTGGCATTAACAAAAGGCAAGTTTTGTGTATTCCGGAAGGCCAGAAGAGGAGAGGGTGGGCTTCCTTCAGGCTTGAGGTCGAAGGGAGAGTGGAAGAAGTTCCTGGTAGGAGTTTGAAGGGTTGTAATCTGTCCTCTCCCTGTGCTCAGGTGCCCTGCTTTAAGCAAAGCAATGAAGTTGTGGTGGCTAGCTTGACTGAACTTTGGCGAGTTGCTATTGAAGAAGGGAGAGGGAGCTACGAGCAGAGGTTGGTTCTATTGGCAGATAGGGCTGTAGAAGATTGGACGGAGGTCTCAGAAGTAGTTGCCGAAAGGTTGGGCTTAGAAGAAGATGTTTTATTGCCCTTTGCTGAAAAGAAAGCTCTATTAGTTGCTGGCGATAAGAAACTGAATCTCGGCACATTCAGTGTAGAGGGAAGTTTGATACAGGTTCAGAGCTGGACTCCAGTTTGCAACAAAGTTGTACCAAGAGTTGGCAGCTTCTTGATCAAACTTCTTGGTCTTCCTTTCAACCTTTGGAATGAACAAATCCTAAAGAAAATTGTCAAAGCATTGGGTGGAGGTCTGCTGGAGGCTAACTTAAGAAACCTGCGAGCTGTGGAACTTAAGGTTGCAGGGATCTTGCCGGAAAATTTGCCTTGAGCCATTGAAGTTCTCTCAGATGATGCCTGGTATAAGGTCTGGCTAGCCTCAGAAGATGAAGCGTCGCTCTGGGGAAGACGGACAGAGGTTGAAGGAGCTGAAGAGTCTATAGGGTGGTGTACACGTGGCCTTTAGGGGATGGCAGTTAAGCCTGGTGCGTGTGGACGGGCTAAGGAGGAAGGGGAACAGTCGTAGGGGCATGAGTTCAAAACTAATCATGAAATCTGGTAACCATTTGGGTTTTGTGTTACTGTTTTCAGATGGATTTCTAGGGAATGAAATGCCACTTCCGATGACTTGGTGAGATAAGGGGTCAATCAGGATAGCTTGGATGATGATTTTTTTTTACCATAGAAAGCATTTATAGCTGATTTACTTGTACATTTTGCACATTGAGTAAATATGGACTTGGCATTTATAGCTTTCTATGAAAATTGAGTAAATATTATGTGGAACTATTGGTGTGTTATCAAAAGCATGGAGTACTTGACATGTTTTCTAGCCTATCAATTTTCATTGTAGGTATACTTCTTGTTCTGTACTATCTTTTTGGCTGTTCAATGTAGAAAGAAATGCTAAACCTCTTTTCTCTTTATAATAAATTAATTCTTGTTATTTGCATTTTTGAAACAGGCATGAGTTCAAAACTAATCATGGACAATGGATTGACTCTACTAAGCCAGTTTTGGATCCTGTTATATTAGCAAAAGTGCAGCAACCAATGGAGTTCACAGATACAAAATTTGACAGTTGCAAACTAATAAGGAATGAAACACGGTCTGCTCTTAGCTCACTATTGAAGGTATTGCATTTCTTTAAGAATTCTGTTGTACTTCAGATTCCTAGCTGCAGAAACTTGATGTTTATTATTAGCTTTCATGCTGTAAGAAATAAGGTTTAATGTGATTTCTACCATATCAGAACCTTACAGTGGAATTTTCCCATCTGTAACCAAATCATTGTAGTTCACAGCATTCAAACTTGGCTTTTGACTGATGGAAGCCACAGATGTTGACAGCACTTACATGGGAAGTGGAGAATGGCTAGGAGGTTTGTTATGGATAAAGGTATTCGTGATTTTAGCAATTTAGAGGTTAAGCACGACTGCCAAATATTACAAGTTAGGTGGGATATCAGAACATAGTGTCAAAAGGGCTGTGATACAAGTAATTAGTGAATGTAGGGTTACTTAAACATAGGACGAAGCTTGTGCTGATGTTTAGTGATTATTTTGGGTGGGTGGGGAGGTGGTTACACCTAGGGGTTATTTGGAGCTGAGTTAAATGCAAGAAGGATCTCCTTTGGAGGGTATGGTCTGGAATAGACTACATCCCTGTTTGGTAGTGCTTCTTTTAAGCGCTTATTGGGAAAAACACTTAAAAGATTCCAAAAGTACTTGAAAGATACCTATACTACCCCCATTTGAACGAAGCACTTTTTCATCAAACACTCATAAGATAAGCACTTATCCAAAATTCCTTTTAGAAACAATAAACAATCCCATACATTGCTTAAGATATGTACCTTCATAGAGTTAGACCTACTGAAGTAAAAAAAGGCACTAAATAAAAGAAGAAGGGAAAGGTGGTTCTTCTGGGGAAATGGTTGTGGAGATTCCCACTAGAAAAGGAGAAATTATGGGCTAAAATAGTGGTAAGCAAACATGGACTGGAGATAAATGGATGGGATGCTGGAATCTGGGCTAGGACCACCAGCGCTTCGCTTTGGAAAGCCATTCATGATCTATTACTAGTTTTTGCCCCTTTTATCTGGTATGATTTGAATTCAGGTAACTCCATAAAATTCCGGGAACAAACTTGGGTGGGGAATGCCCCTCTAAAGGACCAGTTTCCTTCTTTGTATGCCCTATCTGTTTTTAAAGATGAGCCGGTTTCCTCTTTCATCACCCCTTCCTCTTCCAATTCTGGGTTTGGTTGGAATTTGGGTCTAAGAAGGGTTATGAGAGACTTAAACCTTGATAGTATTTCGAGTCTCCTCCAACTTCTTGATGATGTTTTCTTAGACCTTGTTAAGGAAGACTCTAGAATCTGGATCCCCACCCCTACTGGTTCCTTCTCTTGTGCCTCCTTCTTTAAAGTATTAAGCCAGTCTACCAATCCTAGGGTTGGTAGTTTTTGCTGGGAAGCCTTTTTGGAAAGAATCAACATTGGTGATTTGCTCCAAAAGAAGAGTCCCAATACTTGTTTGTCCCCTCATTGGTGTGTTCTGTGTAAAGTTGATGGGAGACTGGTTTTCATCTATTGGTGTCTTGCCAATTTGCAAAATCTATTTGGGAGTGGGCTTTATCTCTGATTGGGTGTACTTGGAATCCTCCATCAAATTTGCAAAGTCTTTTTGCTCCTTTTTTCAGGTGGCGTATGAAAAGGGGAAGGACTATGTAGAGAGGTCTGAGGGCAGTAGTCTGCTGGTCTTTATGGGAAGAAAGAAACTCTAGGATCTTTTTTGAAGAAGAGAGAAGTGCTGAAGATCTGAGGGCTCTAATCCATATAAGGGCTGTATAGTGGATGAAATCCCTAGAGCTATTCACAGATTATACAGTGGATGACATGCTGAGGAAGTGGGGTGAGATTGCTAGCTATACCCAGACTAAAGCAGTAATGAGTGTGTCTTGGGCTCCCTCACCTGCGGGTTTCATAAAACTAAACTTTAATGGAAGTAGCAAAGGGAACCTTGGACAATCAGGGATTGGGGATGTTTTCAGGGATGAGAATGAGGTTTTTCTGCCATGTTCTCAGGCCCAATTGGAGTGGGTGACTCTCTCAGAGCTGAGATCCATGCAGTTATGGAAGGAGTCCAGAAAGCTAGGGAGATGAATATCAGAAAACTCATAATTGAAGGGGACTCGGAGGTGGTGGTAGGGTGGCTGAATAAAGACGGTAGTGGTTTATGGAGTTATAGCAATATGAGGAGGAAATCCAGATGGTTGGTTCGAGAAATGGAAGTTAAAATCAGTTGGGTAAAAAGATCAGCTAATTCTTTTGCTAATGGGTTAGCTAAACAAGGGGTGGACAGGGAGTCAATGTTCTGGGCACAGTTGTAATTTAAATCTCTTTTTTTCTTTTTTTTTTGTTTCTCTCTTGTTTCCTTTCTTGGGGCTCAAGTTGAAGTTGGAAGATAAGAAAGTTTGTCTTCCTCTTTGTAATTCTTATTGTGATAATTAATGAATTGTGTTATTGATAAAAAAAATGAAGAAGGGAAAGGTGTTAGGACCTGGTGGGATTCCAATAGAAGTATGGAAAGGTATGAGAGAGGTAGGCTTCTTATGGATAGCCAAGCTATTTAGTGAAAGAAAAGAAGATGCCTGATGACTGGAGAAACAACAATGTGGTGCCTATATTTAAGAACAAAAGTGATATACAAAGTTGTAATAACTATTGAGGGAGAGGATAATTGAACAAAGATTACGATTTGAAACAAGTGTATTACAGAACCAGTTTGACTTTGTGCTAGGGAGACCAACCATGGAAGCTATATTTCTTTTGAGATGATTGAGAGAAAAATTTAGTGAGAACAAGAAAGATCTTCATATGGTGTTCATTGATATAGAAAAGGCATATGATAGAGTTTCTAGAGAGATAATATGGTGAGTCTTGGAAAAGAAAGGGGGTTCAAAGTAGGTGTATAGACCTAATTAGACCTGTTCATGGGCCGGGTGGCCCGACGGACCGGCCCGGCCCGGCCCGACCCCCGGATGGGCTTGAACATGCTTATAGGCCCGCAGGCTTAAATTCGGGCCAAAAAGCCCGGCCCGCAATAAATTCGGGCCGGGCTCGGGTTTTGTCAAAATAGCCAGATCCGACCTAATATTAAACTTAAAATTAGTTATGTGATTATGTCCATTTGAATAAATTTTTTGATTTAAGAATGTAAAATTGTGTTTTAAAATATAAAAGAAAGGGAAAAATACCATCTTGTAGGCCCATTGTTCATTTAAATAGGAAAAAAAAATACTATCTGAATTTTTAATTCTAATTTGAATAGGGAAAATTGTTTTTTTTTTTCAATTAGGTCGGGCTTCGGGCTTGGGCTCGGGTTTCAGGCTTTTTACCAGGGCCGGGCTCGGGCCCAAGTTATAGGGCCGTTGGTCGGGCCGGGCTCGGGCTTGGGCCTAGTATATTTTCATTATTGACAAGTGAAAGCCCGGCCCGGCCCATGAACAGGTCTAGACCTAATTAAGATATGTATGAGGGGTAACAACTAATGTTAGAACACTAGTGGGATTGTGGGAGGTTCTTCAGATTTTTTAGTTACTATTGGTCTTCACCAAGGTTCAGCACTTGGCCCTTATCTATTCACACTAATCCTAGATGAATTGATTAAACATATTCAGGAGGAAGTTCCATGGTGCATGTTGTTTGTGGATGACATTGTTTTAATTGATGAAACTAATGAATGATTAAATGCAAAATTAAGCTTATGGGCAAATGCCTTATAAACAATAGGTTTTAAAATAAGTAGGGCTAAAACAGAGTGTATGACATGTAAATTTAGAAATAATAGGCGTGTAAATCAAGATACACTTAGGATTAGAGACCAAGAAATAACTCAATTTGACCATTTCTGGTTCCTTGGTTCAATAATTCATAACAAGGGAGAGATTGAGGAGGATGTCACCACTCACCTGAAGAATAGTAGGATGGGCAAAATGAAGAGGTGCATCTGGATTTTTATGTGATAGGCGAATACCACTTGGATTAAAAGGAAATTTTTATAGAACAGTTATGAGGCCAGCTATGTTGTATGGAGCAGAGTGTTTGGCAGCCAAGAAATAACATGTCTAGAAAATGAATGCAGCAGAAATGTGAATGCTAAGATGGATGAGTGGAAAAACTAGAAAGGATAGGATTAGGAATGAAGTTATCTGTAGGAACTTAGGAGTAGCTCCAATAGGTGATAAAATGAGAGAGACTAGACTAAGATTGCTTGGGCATATAGATAGAAGACCACCAAATATGCTGGTTAGAAGAGATCGGGGTAGACGAAAAAGGACATGGATAGAAGTAGTGAGAAATGATTAAAGCACTAATAATTTAGCAATGGATATGGCTTTAAATAGAACGGATTGGCGAGATAGGACTCATGTTGCCAACCCCATATAGTTGGAACAAGGCATGGATGATGGTGATGATGATACATTGGTTAAGATCTAAGACACAATAATTGTGGCTTATCTGGATTGGGAGGTAAAAGAATAGGGCTTCACTAGTTGACAGTTTCAAGGAAGATTTGATGGAAGCAGAATTTTGGTGGCAGGGATGCCCACTTTCTCCTTTCCTCTTTACTTTGGTGATGGACATCTTCAACTATCTCTTTGAGAAAGCTAACCATCTAAATCTAGTGAAAGGGTTTGGAGTAGGGAGAAATTTGGTTCATATTTCACATCTACAATTTGTTGATGATATCATTTTGTTTTTGGATGCCTCCTTGGAAAACATCACAAATGTGAAAAGGATAATCGATTGCTTCGAGTTAATCACTGGGTTGAGGGTCAATTTTAGTAAAAGCAACATTGTAACCATAAATTCTGTAACAGAGGATCTCCTAGAACAATTCAAATCAGTGCAGGATTGTAAAGTGGAAAATCTTCCTATCTCCTACTTGGGGGATGCCTCTTAGTGGAAATCCAAGATCTTTAAGTTTTTGGGGTCCGGTGGTGGAGAAATGTGAATAGAAGCTAGCATCTTGGAAAAGATGTTACCTCTCTAAAGGGGCAAGACTCACACTTCTAAAGGCCTCCCCTGCAAATCTACCTATCTACTTCCTATCAGTTTTTCAAATCCC